TAAAGTATATTAAAGTATATCCCCGGGTCAAAATCGGGAAAAATCCTACATTTTAATATACTTTAATATGGTTGCCCCCCCCCCCCCCCCCCCCCCCCCCCCCCCCCAAGAATGTACATAAATTCATAGAGATTCGGTGAAATGACAGACTGGCCGGCGCCGCCCATTATCTCCACACGTGCGCGCGGCTCTAACCATGAGCCCATGCCACAATCGTGGTTACACTCACACAGAATTAAGTAAACGAAATGTTTCTGATAATCCCATCTTAATAACACTTTTGTCAGCATTTAGCCTAAATATTTCCGTTTCGCGCTCTAATTTAATGTTAATCACCAGTTGAAATTAATCGCTCGATGACGCCAGAACTTTTGGATTTTTCTAGGTACGTTACGTGAAGTCGAGTGCAGACTGTAATCCAAAGTACTGTAATCCAAAATACTGTAATCGAGTGTTACTGTAATCGTAAAGTGATGGTCACCCTTTAGTTACGCCATTAAATAACCGCTTGTTAGTTCCCCTTGAAGATGTATGTGCAGTGAAATTTTGTACATATGCCCAAACATGGGCATATGGTTTTTGGCGCACAACTCCACCATTTCTTATCTAATCTAGATGGAAATTCATATACGAGTTCAGACGACAAAATCTGGGTTTTGAGCTTTTCGGGTGATTTGGATCTTCAACAAATACTGAGCTACATAATGGTCAATATGTAGTTTAGGCTTACCTTTCATACACCAAAATTTCCACTGCAATAATAGGTCATATAGACTAAATTCACGATGAAACGAGAAAAGTGAACACTGGATATGGCGAGAAAGTTTCATAAAACTGGTTACTTTTAGCAAAATAGGTAACAAGGTACGTGAAAACTGGAAAATATTAGTTACCTTGAAGAATAAGGTACATCGAAACTAGTAACTTTTATTGAGCAGGCCGTATATCGAAAATGGTTACTTTTAGTGAACATGACCTGGCGATAAAATTACATCAAAACCAGTAACCCACTCTTTCTCTCAATCCCTCTGTCACAACCGTCTCACCACCTTTCTCACCCCTTTAATCGGTCACCAGTCACCCCTATACTACTAAGAGAAAGAAAACTTCGCCGGTTGAAGACGATAGTTTTGATATTCGGGTTAAAATGTTTGATTTTTTCTTCACTTAATGGTCATTTCCGTCAAAAATTTAAGAAGAATGTTTACTGTTAAGGACACTAGTTTATATTACAACCTGCACGTGTTGGGAATTGTCAAGATACCACATTGCATATGACACGTAACATGGATCAATCAACGTCAATACAGCCACGCACTTATCTCATGAATTTGTATTTACATATTATGTACAGTGTACACGTAATAACTTTATATTACGTAATCAATCACTTTTTGAACAATTTTTTCCATGCAACTCATCCCACGTTACTGCAGGATATTATTTGACTTATTAGAATTAAAATCCCAATCGATTTTTCGCTAAACAAAATGACTATGCTAGAAGCCGTAATAAATGGGTTTCATATAGATTCTAAACGTAAACTTATTTTTCAGGAGAGGAATCTACAATAAACAAAGACGATATATTTTTGGCCAGAAATTTGCGGAGTTCATTCGTCTTGCTAACTGTCTTGGCTGCAGATGTTTCTCTAAAAATCAGGTATTCACTATTTAACTATCCTGTCAGGCTTAAACCCTGGTTGTTAAAACTAAAAGCCTTTTTGCATTATTCATCGTTAAATTTAATATAAAATAAATCAGATTTGTGAATAATTTACTGTCATCTCCATGGTAATTTCATGATAGAAGTTGAACATTTTCTCTCATTTTCACACGTAGTATCTTATTTTCTTTCCCTCAGTGACGGTTCGAGGAGACACTGCATCTCACTGCTCGGTGAAGACACGGGGATATGAAGCTATTATCTCTCTCAAAGTCCATCGCACGTCGTCACAGAGCCTCAATCCGATCAGAGCAAGCAGCAAAGATCAAAAGAGACTTTACGTCCAATGTCAGACGATAAATTTCGACGGAAAACTCCTAGCAGAACTCAGAGGATTTAGGAGAGTAAACAGACTGGCTGTGGTCCTAGTACAAGATGAGGAGAACAAGATACTCGCAATCTGTAAGACTAGTGACTCTACAGTCTACAGGGACTAGGACGAAGCAGACAAAGTGAAGAAAATTCTCGACGACCGGAGCCTAGCAGATAAAATAATAGCCGTTGGATTTGATTCGACATCATCCAATACTGGATTTCACAAAAGAGCATGTACTATTTTTCAGCAGCTCCTAAATCGACAGATCCTCTCGATGGCCTGCCCGCCTGCAGACATCACGCCCTGGAGGTGGAGCTTGTAAGAGGATCTACATCCAAGCAATTGTTCGGTGAACTGCAGAACATCGTCCTTCCTGATATGATCCCTACTTGCTTCAGGAACGACGTGTCGGAGACCTTCTATCCTTCATTAATGACATCCGCCAACTCAACAACCAGCCCAGGAGATTACAAAGAAGTCCTAGAGCTTGCTAAACTAATTCATGGAGAAAGCATAGAGATGAAGAAAGGATACGTCTTCCAGATACAAAGACCTGGAGCTGACCACCGTCCACTATGCCATCTACATTATGAAGATGGTTCTTCTTTACTCGATACTATTTCACTGTACGAAGAAGAGAAACGTGCTCACCACGACAGTCTCAACATGGGCACACATGGTTCCTGAGTCCTGACTGAAGAGCTCGTCCCACTATCCTTGTTCGATGAAGACCTATCTCCAGAGCGCAGGTGTCTCCTTGCAGCAAGAATAGGCCAACAAACTCTTGGAGCAATTCAAGTTGGAACTTGAAAAATTGTTTGGTTGTTATTGAACGTCAATTAAGCCTAATTGATCAAAAATTATTTGGATATATTTTGGTTTTATGAACCTCTTTATATATAATAATGACCAGACGTGGTATGACCAAATAAGGATGTTTGTCTAATTTCTCGTACGGATTAGGGTTTTCAACATCTACACTTTAGTTTGGGTTTGGATTTTAAATAGTCACTAAGGACTACTTGAAGTACGTGTTAAAGTATGTTATGTAGTAGAGTGTTGAGCGATTGATCATCTTTGCATGTTTAGTATAGACCTTGTTGTAGAAACTTAGTACGGTTCTCCGCAGTTAATGTCATTCTGTATTATACGAAAATGCATAGCTAGCAGTAGCATGAGGTATGATAACCTCACGTATCGAAATCTTTGAAATATCTAATCGATTGAGTCTTATTATCTGGGGGCTCCGTTTAAGGTTTTCATACACTTATCAATTGAATATTGTTAAAATTAACTATAAATGTCTCATTAATATTACGACTGTTTGAGAACACAAAGCCCGGCCCTCGGGGTCCCCGGGTAAATCCAAAGCTAGGAATCATGATGAGTGATTCGTGTATTTGGTACTGGCCATAGCACTCTCGTAAATCTATTTTTCATGTCAATAGTTTACGATGACTCCATCATGTACTGTTCTCTTTTAACTTGAAGTATGTAATCAAATTATTAGAATATGAAAGTTAACATAAATTTTGTGATAACAGATATTATGTCTACCACCTTTTTCCACTTGAAGTTGATTATATTTACCTGTGGACCTCCTGCTTTTGTGTTCATTAACACAATTGCATATATATGGTGGAATTACATCGGTCGCATTTTTGGGGTGGAATGCTAGGCGAGTTGTCGTGTGATCATTAAGTAATAATAGTTAAATCATCCATGATACCTTTGATCCGTCAAAGTTCGGAATTGCAATAGACCAAAAGACATGGGGAGAACCTTAATATAACATGAATGATAACATATAACGCTACTGCACTTAGAACTCAAAACATGTCTCTTGTTGCCACTCGGTCACAAACTGCCTTCGTGAACGTCTAAAAGGTCTACCAAAATGCTATTATATTATTACAAAGCACGTTGCGTGCGCGTTAAGCATTCCACTCGCAAAACCGCGCCCGTTGCGCGTTTGAGAGGGTTACATATCATCAGGCTATGTTAATGAACATGATAGCCTGAGGTCCCCAGGTAAAGCAATATATACATACAGATGAGCACTCAGGAGATGGTGCGTGTATGCGCGCGCACGCGCAGTGCTGACAATAGCGTCGTCTGTAACCCCGGGTGCACGTACATCACTACATCGTGTGTGATGATTGATCTCTTATTGAAGCTAATTTCTATTTCAATGACAAATGAGTTTCTTAGACAATTATATATACCAAATAAAGAATTGTGGTACATACAGTAATGAATAAGGAATTAGAAATTAAACATTAAAACAATTTTACCGCGCCCAGGAAACCTTACCGCCTGCTGGGCTTGCTAGAGGTGATAGACTTTAAACAGCACGTTTGGCGTCGCGCGTCACGTTAAGTTTACCTTTCGCACGCTGCATTGAGCCAAGTAGTCATGACAACGACATTTCTTTGCAAAGTTTAAAAGCTGTGATCCTTTTTTTAGCCCAAAATTAAACTTTTTGGTTTAATTCAGAATCTAAGTTGTCCCCAATTTGGCTCCTGGGGAGCTAACTGTAAATTTACGAGACGGGAATTTTGTTGAAAACCGGAAGGTTCTATCTATTTTACTTTTGGAGATATACCCCATTGTGGATTGAAATGCAATTACAACAGAATTATATAAAAACTTACTCTAACCAGAGCCTTCTCGCTTGCAGTAGCCAGTAGCGCGCGACTGCCAAATAAGCACGTCACGCAGTACGCGTATACACATGGCTATGTGAAAATAAAATATATATATATATGCTTTGTATATTTTAAAATAAATAGTTTTACATTTTTTGAATTGCATTTAATTGACGATGTCAATTCATTGCAGCTCGGCGGGGCCCAGTAGCGCATTTCGCCGATCTAGCGGTGGTTGCGAAAACATAATTGACGCGTGCGCGGCGCGGCCTAGTAACGCATCGCGCTACAAGAATTGCATGTAATTGTTTAAAAAATTTTCAAATTGCAAATGATTCTGCTATAAATACTAAAAACAAATGTTCTATTGCTCGCTTCTCTGACGTAAATCTAAAATGCTAGTCCTCCCAGAAACCCTTACTGGATCGATGGAGCCTAACTTTGAAAGTGAAAGAGTTAGAGACTTCCGGTTGTTTGTAACATGTTCGTCTTGTAAAAGTAACAAGTAACGTTACCTCCCCAAGAGGAAAATTTAGGACAACGTAGTTGTTGAGTTATCTCAAAATCTCCAGAAAAGTCCCATTTTGGGCCGATCAAAAGTTTGCAACTTTAACTTTGCGGATTCCTGTACTCTAATTGGCTGAATTGTGTCACGTGCTAGCTTCTTGAAAATTGGAATGGGCCACGCGTGCAAATCATGCTTAATGTCGCGCGCGAGGTCATCAGGTCAAGCCGTCTCTTTAAATTAAACCAACTCTAATACCACTACCAGCCAGTAACTTTTGTTGGGCTGTTCAGGAAGCTTGAAAAGTTGAAAAGCAAAGGTCGCTGCGCACAGGGCCGGACTGGCGTGCCAGATTGCAGATAATAATTTAGCACGCTTGTTTATTTAATCGAAATTGATATTGATATAACAATTCAAATTTAACTTCTTACAAAACTACATTAGGGGTCGTTTACATATTATTATTAATCTTATGTAATGAACCGAGACCGGGGTGGGAATTAAAAAAAACATAAAATGATTACGATAGTGTAATTATTTGACACAATACTAATAGCTATATGTAAAACTGATTATACGGAGGGGGATTGTTGGGGTTGAAAATGGGGGTTGAAAATGGGCCAATAAGTGATTACGTAATATGCGAACTACCCCTTTCTAAGACCTAGAACTGTACAAAACTGTATCACTAATAAAGCCTTAATAATAATAACAGTTTTTGTGCTCTAGATCTAATTGAGTCAGGTTCGTGTCCTTTTGTAATATCTATTCAATTCTGCGATCATCGAATAAGTCACTTGATAGAAAATTCTAAAAGAATGCTACTACCAGGAGAAAAATTATGATGGCTGAGCTGCTAGTAAGGATAGCAGCTTGCGAATCTTCTGGCGAATCTTCTGGCGAATCTTCTGGCGAATCTTCTGGCTTATCTTCTGGCTCATCTTCTGGCTCATCTTCTGGCTCATCTTCTGGTTCATCTTCTGGCTCATCTTCTGGCTCATCTTCTGGCTCATCTTCTGGCTCATCTTCTGGCTTAGCTTTAGCTGTAATTTAAAATATGTTAAATAATTGCGGAACTAACAATCGTTTAAAATCGGTGGAAACACGAATTTATCTCATAAGAATCTTAGAGTCTCAGAGGACGGGGTAATTACATTACTTCTCTCCCAGACTAGAGACTAAAGAGCCGAGCAAGCTAGACAATACTATCACTATCATATAATTAGCTTTAACAGTAACTTACGGACACATTTCAAGGCATCAAAGATAGCCTTGAAGTCGGTGTATAATTTAGCGTAATCGTTGACGCAGCTGAAACTGATGGTGTCGTATCCAAACTGAGACTCATCATTGAAGTTTTCCGGGTCGTACTCGAACACATACCTGGGATTCCAACTTTATCAATTGAATCATAATATAATCCTGAAACGTACAGACTTACTTTCTCGCTAAAACACAATTTTCTGTAGTTTGAAGAGGACTCCGCGACTTACAGACTTACTTTCTCGCTAACACACAATTTTCTGTAGTTTGAAGAGGACTCCACGATATTCAAAGGAGAAACAATTACTGCCCCCAGCCCCCTACCCCTGCCCTCTCCCCCCAGCTCCCTCTTTACATAATACCAGCAATCAAAATCATGCTCTGAATAGCAGTTACAAGCGGTAACAGATTAAACTGTTCCGCGCCATTTCTATAGCCAAAGAAAATGGCTCTTACTAAATCGCTCGCCCAAAAATTTCACGTGACTTTGGTTTTTTTGGTTTTGCAGCCGTACAAAACGGTTTTACATTAACCCTAATCCCAACCCTTACCCTAACCATAACCCCGAAGCTATCCATATTCTTAACCACAACCCTAACCCTAACCCGAACCCTAAATAATCGAATTCACGTTTTACTAGCCTGTCACGTGACCAAAACGGTTTTTTGCCCATAACTCTCCAGAGCAGCATTTTAACCCTACGTCATGGGGGGTGATTCGGAATCAGCGTCCAAAAATACACCGATCTGGATCACTTTCATGCCTAAAGGGCCTTTTCACAAGAATTTTCTTAAAGTTTGGGCGAGCGATTTAGTAGGAGCGAAAGAAAATAGGTTTAATAGGTTCACCAGCGATACTGTTCATACAATATAAATGTGACCAAACATATGACCATATATACATGATGTAGACCACTTACTCGGCTCCATCATTTTTGTCTTTACAGATAAAGTCAAGTCTTTCCCCCAAGAAGATAACTTTGTCAAGATCCCCCTCCGACAGTTCCATTTCGACAAACGGTCCAAAGTTGTCCACGTGCACATCTATGTGCTCATCGGTAGTCATTACAATCGCATCAGCTTCCGACACACTACAAACTGAAAGTCACAGTTAAAAGAGCTATCTAAATCTGAGTAGCAATTACGACTAACTCTGAACTTATCGTACCTTATTTGGACAGACATAATTCTGGATGGATATATTTTTATTCTTGGCTTACAATTTGTTTATTTGGCAACTTTTTGCTTCAAGCTTTGTTAATGAACAGCCAACTGATTCGAAGACAATATAAAAGCAGCCGTATAATACTCGTTTAAACATAAAAAAGTCCATCACTAACTTTTAATGTCTGTCCAAATAAAGTCCCATAAGGTCCGTGCAATCACCCATATATTCCGCAACCATTAGTTAACAAATTTGACAATCAAGGGATAAATTTGCTAATCGCGATAATAGTCCCATAACACATATTGACCTTTGTATTAACAAGTTATATCGTTTCTTACCTAAATTTTGTTTTGCATAACAGGTGCTATGAGTATCATCCCAACAGCTATATCTATCGCTTTGACACGTCTCTTTAGTATGATATTTACCGTAAGGCATTTTACTTTTAACCTCTCTGACGGTGTTGGGTTGAGGACAGTAGGGATTTTCACTCTGCACGAGATCCGTATACTTGTCTGAAGTGAAGGAGGTTATTTTATAAAAGCAAATAAATCACGAACAAAATACATGTCTGAAGTGAAGGAGGTTATTTTATAACAGCAAATAAATCACGAACAATATACATGTCTGAAATGAAGGAGGTTATTTTATAAAAGCAACTAAATCACGAACAATATACATGTTTGAAATGAAGGAGGTTATTTTATAAAAGCAACTAAATCACGAACAATATACATGTCTGAAATATAGGAGGTTATTTTATAAAAGCAACTAAATAATAATCATAATATTATTTCGCTTATAGAGTCAGAATACCCCGACTTAGTATGTATAGCAACTGCTCGTAACTAAATTAATAATACTATAAACGAGCGCATAGTCACCATGGAAACGCATAGTCACCATGGTAACGGTTTAAACTTTGGATTTACTCACAGTTGGCTGTGTTTACGCATTCCGGGAATGAATAACCATTTATCATCACCGCAGCGCTACCGGGGTAGCTTTCCCGTTGCAGGATATAACCGAATCCAGCTTCTCCCATCACGACAATTTCGATGTCACTGGTTGTAATAGAGTCTCCGGGGATGGCTGGGAAGTTGTTTTGCTATCAGTTTCAATACTTTCAACATTACTATATAACAAATAATTTGAGATCATGAATACGATGTTGTTACATTGAAACTTAGAACATATCCTTATCCTGATGAGAGCCTTTTCTCTGTCGCAACAAACGGAAAAACTGCAAATTTTGCCCCAGAATCATATATCAATATATTATAGGTGTGAACTGTGAAAACGTTTGGGCTTATTACTCAGTTACTGATACGACTAGCTATAATCATTCATTCGAGAAAAACATCAAATCAATCGATGAGGATGTTCACTCAGGGGAAGTAAAGTGCTTGACAATTGTGCTTGACATCAGGGTCCCATTGCATTGATAAAGCGGATTTGGAGGAAAGGGGAAGGTACGGTTAATTGGGGTTTACTGTATTATGATAGGAAAATGTTTTGTTGGATGTACTTTGATCATTTTTCAGATTAGCTTACGGTATTGAAATGTGATTACGCCATCTGGATGATCCGGGCCCATAGACAACTCCAGGAACACTCCATCATAATTGTCCTCTAATTGCGTCTTCAAGAACATCCATGCGTTACTGGGAAATTTGTCAGTCGTCTTTAGTTTGCTATCTTCTGCCAGGAGACCATCTTTCCTGTCGCTCAGATAAACTTCCAACTGACCGTCCTCGTCGAAGGTGTACGTCACGTACCAATCGTTCATCGTGCCCTTAGCGTTGTCTCCGTCTACTGGATACGTATAAGACATTGTGGTGGTAGCTTCCGTCAGGACTTCCGGATCAAAAAAGATTATGTTCATCTGATACTCATGCGAATCCGTGAACATAGCTACCATGCGTACAGTTTTAACATCATATCCATTTTCAGTACTAAAAGTGGATACTTCGTGGCTAGTCTTGCCCTTCATACGTCCTTCTCCAATCTTGAGTGTCAGCGCCGCAACAGACAAGTCATATGCGATTTTGAATTTGTTGCCGAAAGCTGCAGATGAGTCATCCGTCATAACTGAAAAAAAAGCATAAATTGTATCTTCAAATGGAATATTCGGGGTATTAGACTGAACTGGAAACAAACAGATTTAAAATTATGCGCCGTGGCATTGATTGACGATATCAACTCATCAATTGGAGTCTAATATTTCGAATAGACCTTGTACGGGTATCCCCTGTTAACAAAAAAGAAAGATTTGTGATCAAATATACTTACCTGAGCTATCCGGAAGAGCAGCCACTTCCTTCATAATATCATACAAGCTGCTAGCATCCTTCGTAAAATGGTACTGAAATGATTCCTGTAAAAACGTAGTTGAAGTTTCAGGAAAGCAATACTGTTCCGCTAGAGTACCACCGAACACGAACAGAACCAAGATCAAGATCTGAAAGAGGACAACAAATTAAAAAATATTAACAAAGTGGTTTTCCGAATGTCAATAATATAAGTTAAAATCTTAAACTTTGTTCAAATTAATAAGAAATGGCCATAATTGCGCCGGATAGTTTGAGTTGGTAGGAGGACGTAGCTTTTCTGATTTTATTGAGAAATTACTAATCACGTGACGTGTTGAACTTGACAACCCCTGCTAAATGAAAATGGTGCTTTAGGAACACATCAGTCAATCACTCACCTTCATCTTTAATAAAAATAGATGTGCAGCACTATCGATAGTCGTTACACTTACTGTTTTGATTATTCCTACATTGCATTGAAAAATATTTAGAAAATTTCTTTTGAAATACATTAATTAATTATTATTGATCATTCACGTAACGAGAACGGCAAAACGTGCCTCATGATAATATTAATAATACAATGATTCACATGTATTATAGCAGTATATATGATAAATGAGGGAGGGAAAAATTTGCCCTGAAAACCTTTAACTAGGTACTGTAATAAAATAAAAATAGTATTATAAAATATTATGAAGTAATTGAAGCCCATGCTTAAGACAAAAGTCCGGAAATGATTTTCAGGGATCGATAGCTGGCAGTGGGATCGAATGAGAAACTGGCTTAGCCGACTGTATGATTCAATGAAAAAAGAAATGTAAGACTCATGTATAATTGGTGTGGGACAGCCCTTAAATAGACATTTTTCAATTTATGGAGGATTTCTGGAATGAGCGTGATCTTAATCAGGTAACCGGAAGTTAATTGTATCATGAAATTCAATTGTCCAGGAATTTGTTCACTGAGACTCACAAAGTTATACTCCAACAACAACAACAAATCTTTGCAAATCTGCAAGATAATTGTATTTGTAGTTGACAGACCCAAGACCTTGTGCGGGAACGCATACCACAAATAAGTCAATCGCTAATAAGAAGAATACGGTCGCACTCAATCACTCACTAAAGATAATGATCAGGGTAGCAGGAAAAATAAAGATTTCCAGGATAACTTTTAAAAGCTTTTGACTTAAACATTTTTCTGTTAGCACTTCGAGATGGCCAGGCCTACTCTCATGCTGTCTATATGTGATGATTAACTCTGAAAAAAACTAGGGACAACTGGGGAATGATCCCAGAACCTCGAGATTTCGCGTCTCTTGCTCTACCAATTGAGTTCTGGGATCATTCCCCAGTTGTCCCTAGTTTTTCAGAGTTAATCATCACATATAGACAGCATGAGAGTAGGCCTGGCCATCTCGAAGTGATAATAATAATTAAATGTTTCGCAGATTGGCAATTAATCGGTGTAGTTGGTGTTGTACACACTGCACTGATAACGATATCACGTTGTACGTGTAATGTAAATATAGTGTGGATAAATGCGAATATATATTCTAAATAACTGATAAATGATATTCCACACAAAGCATGAAATTGTGCTGTATATGAGTGGTGATTTCGCTCTGAGAATCAAGGGTCAGTAGCTCAATTGGTAGAGCAAGAGACGCGAAATCTCGAGGTTCTGGGATCATTCCCCAGTTGTCCCTAGTTTTTCAGAGTTAATCATCACATATAGACAGCATGAGAGTAGGCCTGGCCATCTCGAAGTGATAATAATAATTAAATGTTTCGCAGATTGGCAATTAATCGGTGTAGTTGGTGTTGTACACACTGCACTGATAACGATATCACGTTGTACGTGTAATGTAAATATAGTGTGGATAAATGCGAATATATATTCTAAATAACTGATTTTTCTGTTAGCGTCAAATGTCCGCTGATGTCCCAAAAAACACGTCCGTTTTCTCATAGAGTTCAAAAAGGAAACGGACATTGGCGGACATAAACCCACTCCCCCCTAATATAAGGCTAAAACCACAAATAATTTCATATGCAAATTTTAATGAGGGAGGAAAAAATTTGCCCTTAAAACCTTTCACTACTGTAATCAAATAAAAACATTATTGCGAAGCTTTTAAATTGGGCTTCATTCTGAAAAATAGGATTCAAGCGATTAAACAATATAAAGAAATTAGAAAGTCATAATGTCAATGAGACGCATACGATTATTGCGCTTTTAGAATTTTTTTCGACTTTGACTAGTGGCATTGCCATTGGCAGCGGCTGAAAGCACTACATTTAGTATCGATGAAAAGGAGAGTAGAGCGTTATGATATCATCCATATGTGGAAAATATTGCACAAACACTGCTCAAATGATCTGGGTATTCGTTTTCTACTCCATCAAGTCACTGAATCAAGGCCACTATTCCAAGTGTCGTGTCACCAAGACCAGTATACCTAATCGACGTCAACAGTCATTGTATGATGGTTCATTTGCCAAGTTTATGGAACTATATAAATTTCATCAGATCTTCACCTCATTGGAGACCCTGCCTCCACTGCTCTTCAAGGCAAAGCTGTCAGTATTTCTTAAATTGTATCCAAATAACAACATGTCAGTTAGCAACTATAACCTGGGGAGTGGCGACCTCCTTTTGCGTGAAATTTTAGCTTACCCAAGCTTTTAAAACTATCACTACTTGACTTCTCAGTGTCAGTTTCCTTTGCAGTCTTTATCATTCGAGAAGTAATCCTTTACACTACAGTTCAGACTTCAGTATAAACACGAAGTCCGAAATCACAACGAAAGAGAAAAATTTGGATTATTGGACTTGAAGCCTTCGGCTGCTTCAATTCCCCTGATTCTGAATGCGAGATGCAGGATGCGTCCGCTCGACTAAATTTTATTTTATCAGTTAGTGGAGAAAGAGAGCTTTTATAATATAGTAATACCTTCGCTTTTTTGGGCTCCGCATGATAATTCCCGACAGCTTGCTGGAGGGAATTTGCGGCCCGAAGAACCGAAGGTATTATTTGTTATAATACCTTCCGGGAATTATATCCACTAAAAGTCTCGGACACTGAGAGCTGATAATTTGCCGATATATCCCGCAAGGGAAGCCAAGGTATTATCAGCATAGACCTCAGACTGGCTGGCGGCAAGTTGTAAAAGAAATAACACTGGCGTTCTATATATTAGTCACTATATTGTATCATGCGCACGTATCGGATTACACCCCTTCCAATTCGGAACCGGAAAATATTATAATACATAATAGCTTGGCAATTTCGTGCCCGCGCGTTCCCTCCAGCAAGCTGTCGGGAATTATCGCGCTCAGCACTCATTAGCCAAGCTATTATCATATTATAATATTTTCCGGTTCCGATTGGAAGGGGTGTAATGTGATACGTGCGCATGATACAATATAGTGTGTAATATATAGAACGCCAGTGTTATTTGTTATAATACCTTCCGGGAATTATATCCACTAAAAGTCTCCGACACTGAGAGCTGATAATTTGCCGATATATCCCGCAAGGTATTATCAGCATAGACCTCAGACTGGCTGGCGGCAAGTTGTAAAACAAATAACACTGGCGTTCTATATATTAGACACTATATTGTATCATGCGCACGTATCGGATTACACCCCTTCCAATTAGGAACCGGAAAATATTATAATATAATAATAGCTTGGCTAATGAGTGCTGAGCGCGATAATTCCCGACAGCTTGCTGGAGGGAACGCGCGGGCACGAAATTGCCAAGCTATTATGTATTATAACACACATAACCCCGGCATGCGCAGGGATTATATTTCAATTTTTCCCGCGACGCGCGGGAAAAATTTATAATAATTTCGAGTGCGAAGCACGGGGGATTATTATGAAAATAACCCCGACGTGCTTTAGCACGAGGGGTTATTTTAATATAACTTAAGCGTGCCGGTGTTATGTGTTATAAACCCCTCCGGGTTAGTGCTAGGACCAACAAATTTGACATTTTACTCTTAATTCTAGCTATATGAGATCAGTATGGAAAATATGAAATGGAATTGGGGACTACCAAATAAATACAACTAAGGTACTATGACATTTGAAATTGGCGTTATATCTTGACGGATGTTACTCGTCTAAATTTCTTCGAAGTAGCGCGCGCCGCTTTCTTCTCGAAATGTTGACGGATGTTACTCGTCTAAATTTCTTCGAAGTAGCGCGCGCCGCTTTCTTCTCGAAATGTTAGACTGATGGCAAGAGCTACGAAGTAGCGCGCGCCGGGTCAGATCATTAACAATGGTCAACGTTATATCTAAACATTATTCGTCAGTCAGAACGTTGGTCGTTGAATGAATATGAATATCGATAAGGGGCGTCGAGTTAAGCCTGGCAAGCGATAAAAGGTGGAACTAATAATGATATCGTGTCATCAAGTTCATCAAAGTAGACGACTGTAATACATGGCTTATATCAAACACGACAAAATTAACCGCACAAAATCAAATGTAACCGTCGAGACAAGTTCTGGAACTGGTCCAATTAATGTAAGAGTTTAAGTAATGTAAGCAGTGTGCTGGAGTTTTGCCAGCGCCTGCAATTAGACCGATACGATCAAGTGTATTTATAGTTCTTACGTTAAGCCATAGGTCACGTGACATTTTTTACCAATGCGCGTCGTAGTAGTTAGTCACGTGATACACGTCATCAAAACACTTGACAGTGCGCGGTTGAAATTCTCATGGAATATCAAAACAAAACAAATCTTGTTGAGCCAAATTAGCGGGGCGGGATTATAGAAGCTCTGCTGGGGTTATTTATTCAGCGGGAAAAAACTAACAGCGGGAGCCGGGATTATCAGAATCTATTTAGCGGGAGCCGGGATTATTAGAATCTTATTCTAACCCGGAGGGGTTTATAATACCTTCCGGGAATTATATCCACTAAAACTCGGGGACACCGAGGGCTGATAATTTGCTCATTTTTCCCGCAAGAGAAGCGAGGGTATTATCAGCCCAGACTCAGACTGGCTGGCGGCAAGTTTCAAAACAAATAACACTGGCGTTCTATATATTAGACACTATATTGTATGATGCGCACGTATCGGATTACACCCCTTCTGCAATCGGAACCGGAACGTATTATAAAATATAATACCTCCGCAACTTCGTGCCCGCAAATTCCCTCCAGCAAGCTGTCGGGAATTATAGCGCGCAGCACTCAGTGGCGGAGGTATTATAGTATTATAATATTTTCCGGTTCCGAATTGGAAGGGGTGTAATCCGATACGTGCGCATGATACAATATAGTGACTAATATATAGAACGCCAGTGTTATTTGTTTTACAACTTGCCGCCAGCCAGTCTGAGGTCTATGCTGATAATACCTTGGCTTCCCTTGCGGGATATATCGGCAAATTATCAGCTCTCAGTGTCCGAGACTTTTAGTGGATATAATTCCCG